GCTGGGTCTAACATAATGACAAGAAGGTATTATTTATTCTTTGCAACTCTTTGCAATGAAACTGAAATTATATCATTGATGTTAAATTTAAATCTAAATTACCTAAGGTAATGAAATAGTACAACAACAACAACATCAACCACTACATGGGATATTACATGAATCCTTTTTCTCCATTGTGTCATGTTAAAAATCAAATTCTCATTTAAATCTAATAAAAAAAGATCATTTCTAATATTTTCTAACCAAGTCTTTTTAGGTCTACCTCTATCTTTCTTAACATAAGTCAAATCTAAAACCTCAACTTTCCTAACCGGGTCATCGGAAGGCCTTCGTTTAACGTGACCAAACCATCTAAGGCGACTCTCTCTAATCTTATCTTCTAGTGGAGCTACTCCAACCTTTTCACATACATGCTCATTTGGTATCCTATCTCTAAAGGTAAAGCCAATCATCCACCTAAGCATTCTCATCTCTGCAACACTTAACTTTGTATTATGCTTCTCTTTAATGGCTAACATTCGGCACAATAAAGCATTGCAAGTCTCACCACCATCTTATAGAATTTTCCCTTAAAGGTAATGAAATAGTGAACCTGATAAAAAAATTTATAAAGACGCAATCTCCTACATGCGAAACACACAGACAAACACACAAAGTTAATTGCACAGTTAGAATAAGGTCATTGTGCCATTCAATTAAAATTTTATTTGAGAGGAACCAATCTAAGAAAATATAAGTTCAATACCTGGCCAAAACTCTTCAGCTCAAGCATAGGGCCCTCTCCGTTAGTGTTCTGTTCAATAGAGAGAGATAAATCTGAGTCTTTGAAAAACCATGTGTTGTCAACGTACTCTGCAAGCAAATGTAATTTTCTGGACAACCTCGTCATTCCAAATATTTTCCGCTTCCATGAAGAATGTTTCCTTCCTCCTGCTTCCTTTAATTTCCTGGTTTACATAGACCAGACCCCATTCAATCAGCATAGAAAAGGTGGCCAAATGATATAGAATATAAACAAACTTCAAAATCAAACAATTTAGAAAAGCTATCTTCCAAACTAAGTAAAGAAGTCTACCTAGATTCTTCAATATGCTTTCTTCTGCTTCTCTCTTTTCTATATTTTTTCCATTTGTTCCAGGCTTCATTATTGCCTTTCTTACTCTCTCCCTCTTCGTCACCCTCACCCTCTCTCTACTTAGCACAAATTCTCTTCATACATAGATCAACCAATTTTTCTTTCTAATACGTCTTTATTTATTCAATTTACACGCCCAAAAAACCATGTTTATCATTATTTTATTTTAATATGTGATACCCTTTCCATCCCTCTGATATAACAAATTTACACATTATTCTTTCAGGCTTTGCTACACATTCATCTTCACAATAAGAAAATTGCTTCTACATTGCTTTTGTGCTTAACGGACAGTCTCATCAAGTTGTTTGTGAGGTTTTACCATCAAAGTGTAGCATTACTTGCTTTTCCAATATCAAATATTTGTTTTGTTGACCAAGGCTTCCAAACATGTAATCATTATCAGGCATATCTCAACTATTTGGGTTAGGCCAAGGTTCTCATACATGTAAAATGTACTAACAAATTTAGGATTTAACAGTTGATCACACTTGTTTTATTTAAGAAGATAATTTATTTAAAGATATTTTCACGTAAGGAATATGATAAATCTTTGAAATTTTTCCTGCTACATTTCCCTAAAACTTATGTTTGAGTGGATGGAGGGCATTAGGTTCTGTTCACCATAAGCCAGAATAGAGGTATTGCTGGAGCAAATCATTTTGCTCCCACTTGACAACCAAAATCAAAAGTAATGAACTTTGTTTTATATAAACTTAGAAATTAAAAATAATAATAATTTAAGAAAGATATACTTTTAGATGAAGTGAGGCCTTTCAAAACAAATTTTTGTCTTACGCAGAACATAGCTATTAACTTGAATTTTTTAATATTTGTAATGAGTTTAGAGAACAAGTGAAATGAATATATTTGAAGGTTGCTCAGGAAGTCATACCTCATTTGTAGAGTGATGATATCATTACCGTAGCCATCTACCAGATGAGTCCAACTTCTCATATGTTGAGCCATTCCAGGAAGCGGAAATCTACATGCATTCACAGATAATGGATGTAACTTCAACATTTTAAACACGTGTGGCGATGACACTGGAACTGTAAAAGAAGCAGCAACATGAAGACAAACAGGTTTGGAATTTGCTCGTCTGTTGTTGAGCTTCAATTCAAACCATTTCTCAACAGAGAGTTCTGCATTTGGATCCATCAGTTCATCAAGTGAGATGGACATCGTTCCAATTGTTTTTGCAGGTTTTGATTTGGTCGTTACATTCAGAACAAGATCTCCAGCCGGTTCACATTCAAAACCAGCGGCCCTTTTCTCCCCCGTCTCAGAGAAAATACTAAGACGACTACTACCATTCAGAAACATATCTGGCTTTTTCTTGCAGAAAGAAACAAAAACATTCCCTTTTTCATTAGCGGGTAGATTTTTTATTCCCACAATCTCTAAGAGGACCTGTAAAAGAGAAATGAAGAAATTTCAGAGTTCAAAGATATAGCCTCTAATTTTTCATTTTTTTCATAAGTTGAATGAATTATTTTTTTGATTGGGCTGGGGTGGGGGGAGGTGGTGGATGTCAAAGGTTCCAATGAACCCCAAAAGGCTTCCATGGAGATTGAACTGACTAGAATAACGAACCTAGAGCTTGCCTAAATCAATTTTTAACTGCTTAGAGCAATGCAATAAGCAGGATCACTTGATTCAGATTTTCCAAAGAATCAACAAGAAAGATAAACCTATAAAGCCAAAGTACCTGTGAGTTAGGAAAAGCAGCTCAATTTCCAAACAAACTTAAAATGTCTCCACAAATTTAGAAAAGGAAAGCACGCATTTGTGAAAAAAAATCCGATCATAGAAAGTTGTAAATACTGAAAGAATTTATAGAGCATGAATAGAAATGCAGGAAAATTTATTCATATTGTAAAAATGCATTCTGGTTTAAGAAATTATGATGGACTGCCTACAAGTAGGTCTTCATTTTAAAATTCTACTTATAGATTGAAACTCGATTCTACGCCACATGATTTAAGCATTAGTAAAAACGAAAGAAACTCAAAGGAAGGTTTTGGTATTACCTCCACAACCATTGTATGTTGAAGAGGAAGGGATATCTTTGAATTGGGAGGGCAAAGTGTATTTGTCTGATTATAAGTAGATAAGAGTGGAGTGGCGTCTACCAAAGGCAGAGCAAAGCCTCTGTACATAGCCCCAGCTCTCCAATACCTCAAACCATATGCATCTTCCCATTGTTTGGTAGTATCAGAGAAACCAGTGTCAAGTTTTTTACCTTTGGTCCTATCAGAATCGGTGTCATCATGCTCTAATACTTTCCCAAGCAGTTCTACCATGTCTTTTTGGTATGAAATAGGTTGCAGTTGGTGAGAATGCCACATGAGATCTATATCATAAGTTGGTACGTAGAAATATCTCGTTGACTTCTCCCGGTTCCTCTTAATCAGATGAAGGAACCCCTTGTACCTAGCAGCAGCTCCATCAAGAAAGCGTTTATCATGCATTATCGGTCTACATACCTGTCCATAATTAAATAATAAATATATCATTGCATTTGTAAATTTGAACGATGTTTCTTGAAGCTAATGATAGAGTAGCAGAAGCGATTGGAACACTGGATTTTAACCAAAGAGAGTAAAAAAAATGACAAAGCTCAATAGCAACAATGGTGGATAGACTTCACAGCAACAATAGTGGATAGACTTCACAGATCCAACTTACACAGCAGTCACAGTACCAACCTGGCCAGGACAGTTCATCTGGCCCTGTGGGTCTATTTATTACTAAGATATCCTTGATGCTATAAAATTAATCCAAAAGAATCATGCCAAACTTGCTCGGATTTTTCAGGAACTTATCAATCCCTGTCCTCTATCCCAAAAATATAGAGTTAGCTTCCTGAATCCTCCTCTTCCATTAATCCACGGTGCATGTGCGAATAAATTTTCACAAGGAAATTGTAGGTGGCCCTTCAAGATTAAATCATCCTTTTCATGAATCCATTAGTAACTTAAAAAAAATTAAGAAAACAAGGAGATCATCACCATCGCCATATTAACCTTTTCCAAACTAGTTGGGTTAGACTAAAGAATAATGATAGAAAACACATACCCAAAAGCAGAAAAACCGCTGTTTTCGGAAGAAAACAACAACTTGATAGCAGCAACCTTGAGAAAATTAAGAAAATCTGAGAGAAAAATGAAGGATTCCACTAACGAATGAAGAAAAACAGCAAAAGATACACATTTATTCAATTCAAGAGGAAGAAACGACCCTCCAAATCTCTAACTGAGAGACTAAAGCCCAAGCACACAAGAGATCTCAAATTTCAGCCAAATTCAAGATTGAAACACTAATTCTAGCATAAGCAATTAATTAAATCAAAAGGAGAAATCCAAAATTCCTAAACAACCTCTAATTCAAAAATTTCCAACCAAAGCAATCTTTAATCAAGGTGTGGACCCCATAGGAGCAGCCGGCCCCTTCTCTCTCCCTTTCCTGGGCTGACGACTATAGTAGTAAACCGGTCCACTAGGGGCCGGTTCAATAGGAGCAGCCAGCCCCTCTTGGGCCGGCCTAACATTACTCTCATACCAAAGACTCGCCTTGTCCTCAAGGTAAAAAAAAAAAAGGAAACTGGAGCTTCAATATCTCATATGGCTCCCAAGTGGCATCAAAATCGGGAAAATCCCTCCATCTGATAAGCAATTCCTTGTTTCCCCTTTTACCCGATCTGACCCCTCTTAACTCCAGTGGTTCTAAGACCACCTCCAACTCCTTTGTTAGTGTAGCTAGAAATTCTGCACTAACTGCATGCTCCCCTAGAGCTCTTCTCAACTGCGACACATGGAAAACTGGGTGTATGGTGGCATATGGGGGTAACTTCAATCAATATGTCACTGCTCCGATCTTGCCAATAATCTCATAGGGGTCAAAGTACCTCGGGGCCAATTTCTCGTTCCTCCTGTTACCAACTGATCTTTGCCTGTAGGGCCTTAGTTTCAAGAACACTTTCTCCCTCACTTCATATTGTATGTCTCTCATATGTGTATATGCCCACTTCTTCATGAATTGTTGTGCCTTCAACAGATATTTTTTTAACTCCTTCAACACCTTGTCCCTCTCCTCTAAGTACTGCTCAACTGAAGAGACTGGTGTAATTCATCTCCCAAAATGCACAAAATGTGGACGGTCTCTTCCATGCAACACATTAAAATGAATCATCTGAGAAGCAGAATGATACAAAGTATTGTACCAATACTCGGCCCATGGTAACCATTTTGCCCACATCCACGATGTTTCAGAAGAAAAAAAATCTCAAATTGGTCTCCAAACTTCGGTTCACCACCTCCGTTTACCTGTCTGTTTGTGGATGGTAGGGGGTGCTTCTCTTAAGAACAATGCCCTACAACCTGAAGAGCTCCCTCCAACACTGGCTAAGAAACACTTTGTCTCAATCAGACATAATTGATTCAGGAAACCCATGTAATCTAACCATCTCCCTAATAAATGTTGTCACCACTAATGCTGTGGTGTAGGGATGTCGTAAGAGGATAAAATGTGCATACTTACTAAGTTTGTCAACCACCATCATGATGACTATGAATCCCTCTGATTGTGGTAGGTCGTCTATAAAATCTATGGACACTTCCTCCCATACTCTGTTTGGAAGTGCCAAGGGTTGTAGTATTCCTCCTGGAGCCATTCCTATATATTTGTTTCTCTGGCACACTTCACACCTCGCCACCATCTCATCAACATCTTTATAAATCCCCTTCCAGTAAAGCTCAGTTGCCAACCGCCTATAGGTCTTATGTACTTCTGAATGACATCTAACTGCGCTGCCATGAAACTCCTATAACAAGTGAGGAATATGTATGGAAGTTCGCGGTATCATAAACCTCCCTTAATGCAACAGCCTCTCCCCCTCAATATAGTACCAGAATGGTTATAATTATCTTTTATCAAATCGTCCCTGATCGTTATCAACTCTTCATTTTGCATGCTTTCTTCCTTGATGGCCCCCCAGTATACCATCAGTGGAACTGAAACAGCCAACTCATGAAGTTCCCCAACACATCTGGATAAGGCATTGACCGCTTTATTTTCAAAACTAGGCCTGTACTGGATCTCAAAATTATAGCCTAATAGTTTGGACAACCATCTCTAATGCTCATCGGTCATCATCCTTTGCTCCAACAGGTACTTCAAACTTCTCTGATCCGTCCGAATAATTAAATGCTTACCCAAAAGGTAAGGGCGCCACTTCTGAATTGCCAAGACAATGGCCATCAGCTCTCTCTCATACAACGACTTCAATCTAGCCCTAGTTGACATCACTTGATTGAAGTATGTTGTAAGTCTGTGATTATGCATTAGCACTGCCCCCAACCCTTATCCTGACGCATCAATCTCTACTACAAAGATCTGGATGATGTCTGGAAAAGCTAAAACTGGTACTGTAGTTATGGCTTTCTTCAATCTCTCAAAAGCCTGAGTTGCTGCCTCTCCCCATAAAAAGTTGTCCTTCAGTTGCTCGGTCAAGGGCCAAGCTGTGGTACTGTACCCCCTCACAAATCTCCTGTACTAACCAATCAGTCCTAGAAAATCCTTCAACTCCCTTTTGTTCCTAGGCATAAGCCATTTCTGCATTGCCTCAATTTTTGTTTGATCGGCCGCCACTCACTCCTAGGATAATACATGTTCCAAGTACTCCACACTAAACTGGGCGAAGCTGCACTTCTTTATATTGGCCCTCAACTGATACTCCTGTAAAACTCCCATAAGCACATTCAAGTGCTCCAGATGCTCCTTCTCAGTTTTGTTGTATATCAAAATGTCACCAAAAAATACCAAAACAAACTTCCTGAGGTATTGTCGGAATACCTTGTTCATCAAAGACTGAAAAGTAACAGGGTGTTAGTAAGCCCAAACGGCATTACCTGAAACTCATAATGCCCCTCATGTGTCCTGAAAGTTGTCATTGAAATGTTTGTCTCCCTCATTCGGATCTGATGGTATCCTGATTTCAAATCCAACCTGAAAAACATCACTGCCCCATACAATTCATCCAAGAGCTTATCAATCATAGGAATTAAAAACTTATCTGGCACTGTCCCCTTGTTCAAAGCTTTATAGTCCACACAGAACCGCCAGCTCCCATCCTTCTTCTTGAACGGTAGTACTGGACTAGAGAAAGGACTCACACTTAGTGATAAACCCAGCCTACAGCATCTCTCGGATCAGCTTCTCAATCTCATCAATTTGAATCTGAGGATAGCGGTAGGGACGAACACTGACTGGCGTCACCCCTTCCTTTAAAGTAATGGCATGCTCCAACTCCCACTGTGGAGGTAGGCCCTAAGGAGGTTGAAAAATCTCACTGAAATGATGTATGGTTGGCTGCAATGAAGAGGGAATGTCTCCCACCTCTTTTAGTCTAACCCCCTCTAAGCGATACAACTCCACCAAATATCCTCCTCCCACATCCTCTATGGTCCTAATCAAGACTTGAGAGATACCACAATCTTAGATAGCCCTGCATCACCCTGAATCACCATTCTCTTTCCCCCAACCACCAATTACATCCTCAGTGTTCCCCAATTAACCTTGATATCCCCCAAGGTCTATAGTCACTTCATCCCTAGGATGACATCAATGCTTCCCAACTCCAAGGGAAGAAAATTCTCCCTCACCTGGATCTCCTGTATGGTCAGCATCACTCCCCTACAAACTCTTCTACCCATCTCCATCATTCCTGTGCCTATCATCACCCCATAGCCCCATGTATCCATTAATTTAACCCCCAGTAGATCAATAATCTGGTTGGAGATGAAATTGTGGGTTGCCCACTGTCTATCAACACCACCACCTCTCTATCTACTATATCTTCCTTCACTTTCATGGTGTGATTTGGGGTGAATCTCACCACTATATTTAAAAAGACTTATGCTACATCCAGGTGCAACTTCTGCTCTTCCTCCACCTCTAACCCACTCTGACCTCCCTCTTCAGCTTCCTCGTCATCACAGACAGTGAGAATCTGAAGAGTTCAGTCCTTACACCTATGCCCCGGCATGTATTTCTCATCATATCTAAAACACAACTCCTTTGCCCTCTTCTCATGTATTTCCTTTTTCGTCAGCCTTTTGAAATTTCTCCCTCCTCCAGCTCTCTCCTTGGGCACTTCCCTCAGACTCCCAGGAGCAGGTCCCTTGGGAGCTAAAAAAGTAGTGGTCATTCTATATGACACCTTAAGTTGCTCCCCCTAGCCCCCCTCTCCAGATGTTTCTAGTCCTCCACCAACTATGCTAGCTCCATGCCCTCTCCCAAGTCTCATGGCGTCGCCACCCTAACTATTATCCATATCTCCGCTTTAAGCCCCTTATAAAGTTTCCCTCTAGTACTGTCTCTGAGAGCTGGTGAAGTGTGCTGATCAAATACTCGAACCTGTCACGATAATCTGCCACGGTCCCCTCATGTGTTAGGGCAATGAATTGCTCATAGAAGTCTCCACCCCTACTTGTTCAAAAATGTTCTAGTAAACAATATTTGAACTCCCTCCAACTTTGAATGGGTTGTCTCATGTCTCGCCATTGGTACTCGCCATTGGTACCATGTCAATGCCTTACCCTCCAAACACGGTCTTGCCGCTGTTAGCTTCTCTTCCTCTGTCAACCCATTGATAGCAAAATAATACTCCACCTTATAGATTCAGTCATGGTTGTCCTCGCCCTCAAGGATGTGCATCTTCATTTTAGGGTTCAAAGATCATTGAATCCTCCATAAACTTCCATTCCTCACCTTTGGATCACTCTTGTTTCCTTTGAATCCTCCATAAACTCTCATTCCTCAAAGATGAGGTGCTCCCCAGTTGTCACGATCTTCCCTCTGGCGATCATTCCCAAACCCTTCATTGTATTCCCTTATTCTTCTTCCAAAATCAGCACCTCAGCGGTGGAATTCTTCCCTTCTCCCAACAAAATCAGGACCCCTTCTTTCGTAACTCATATTCATCTCCTCCCTATAAAGTGGTTCTAGATGAGACATTCTGTCATCTCCCTCGAGGATCTCCACTTCCGGATTCTCCCTCCCCCTAAACAGGTTCTGATTTCCCACTCTTCCACGGCCACCGGTGGTCTCCTTTGCTTCTGATGTCGTCGGATTTTGTTTGTCTTCAAACATCTTCTACATCATGTCCTCCAAGGCAGTGAACCTTCCATCTATCTTTTCATGGATGGATGCAAATTGATTCTGAAAATCAGAGATTTTCTCCTTAAAATATGTCTTCAGTTGACCTATTTATCCCTCCAAGACTTCAACTTTCCTTCCGGCCATTAATATCCCTTAGATCGACAAGCTCTGATACCAATTTGATAGAAAACACATACCCATAAGCAGAAAAACTATTGTTTTCGGAAGAAAACAGCAACTTGATAGAAGCAACCTTGAGAAAACTAAGAAAATTTGAGAGAATTTAAGGATTCCACTAACGGATGCAGAAAAACAACAAAAGATACACATTTCTTCAATTCGAGAGGAAGAAACGACTCTCCAAATCTCTAGCTGAGATACTAGAGCCCAAGCACACAAAAGATCTCAAATTTCAGCCAAATTCAAGAAGAAATCCTAATTCTAGCATTAGCAACGAACTAAAACCAAATGAGAAATACAAAATTCCTAAACATGCAATGAGAAATACAAAATTCCTAAACATGCCCTAATTCAAAAATTTTCCTCCAAAATAATCTTTAATCAAGGTGTGGGCCCCATAGGAGTAGCCGGCCCCTTCTCTCTCCATTCCCTAGGCCGGTGGCTATAGTAGTAAACCGGTCCACTAAGGACTGGTTCAATAGGAGCAGCCGGCCCAAGATGGGCCGGCCTAACAAATAACTACCAACATTTACAAGTCTTTTCATGTGTTGCACTTGGTGTTAAATAAAGGTTGCAGGTCCCTTTTCACAACATTTCAACAAGAGAAATTGCAAACTAATAGAATGGACTATAGAGAATGAATTCTGCAGCTAATTTGAATTTTTTATTTAGTATATCCAATTCGCATATTTTATGCTTCTTTTCCTGTAATGCGTGCAGTTTATTTTATTTTATTTTTTCATTTAACTGGCAATTTGCTTTTGCAAGTGCAGGGAGACATTTACAGTAGCTAATATATTGATGTAGTGCAACACAACTCTAATTAATATACAATATAACATTGAATGTTTTACTTTTTAGCCTTATATTAGATGTATTAACTCCACATTTAAATATACATCGTACTACAAATATATCTGCATGATTACTTGATCCTTGCTCCTAAAAGCTTTGTTTTCACCTAAATCTCCCATCAAATGCAGCCGACATCAGCCATCTAGTTGGTTTCTTTGGCTCGAAACAAAAGGTCTTGGATTTGAGGCCTACGTATGATAGTAGTAGGGGTGATAAATTAAGCGGTTTCATATTTTCAACAAATTCCAAAATTGATACATTTCACTTGGTCTCCCTTACTCTCCCCTAATCATGCCATCCTCTTTAATCTAGAGATTGTTCGCTAAAGTGAATAAAAAAGTCAAATGGAAAAATTAGTTCTATCATATTGTTCCTCCAAAAAGATTTCTAAAGCCATGAAATGCCACTCACATCCTGTCTTGATAGAGTTGAAGCAACTAAAAAATGAACGCTTCCATTTCGGAAATCCTCATATTATCAGATCTGACGGCTATAAAGTTGATTCTTGTTGGATCACAGGCATTCCTTTTTAATAGTATAATTTAAGTTAAAACTCTTTGATGTAGTGATAAATGTCACAGATTCACAATTTTATGTGAATAAGCTGTTATGTAATGGTACTCAAATATGAGAATATACCGTCTCAGAATTGTTTATTGAGATCATCAAGATTGATGGACCAACATTGTTAATAAAACATTTGTTGAACAAGCAGTGCACAATCCTTGTATCAATCAAATTATAAAACGGCGTAAATCATAATGCTATACTCCCGTGTCAAAGTAAAGGGACAAAAAGAGTAATAAAAAGAGCAAAATTGTGTCACAGAGATAAGGTCTCAGCTACCTGGTAGTAGAAGGAAGATTGTCTCTTGACGGCAGAAACCAAATCATATGTGATAGTATTTAACGTCTCTGTATGATTATTCAAAGTTGTTCCAGTTAAAGGACTCCTCCAATCAAGCTCAAAAGGTTCATTTGGATAAAAATTGGCCCATATTTCTGCAGTTAGATGTTTTGATTTATCCTGCAGAGTAGATGCGACATTTTTGCTGTCCAATACTTTCCCATAGAATTCCTCGCAGTCTTTTTTGTACTGTATCTGCATTTTGAACTAATTATATTATATGAAATCATTAAATTTTCATCAGAGAATGAAGGAAAAGAAACTGATAAGCATACCGGATTAAGTCGATGGCAGTGCCATACCCATTCACAGTCAAGAGGGGCGGTCAAATATTCATCTGGATCTCCAAACTCAGTGTGCCTGGCTAGCAATGGAAGCCAGCAAGTTTTGTACCTAAATGTCAAAGCCTCAGGTTACATATGAAGTAAAATTGCTTCCATGGATTTCTTTATGGCAAGATCCCAATAAGAAACGCTTAGGTCCACCAACAAAAGCAAAACATGGAAAACAATCCAAAGCATATGCAACCGTAATGTTCCATTGAACAGTGGAAAACTCAATTCAACAACCGGAAAACATTACGGATCATAAACTTGGCCTGCTTTAATGTTTGAAAAGTATAAATCAGGTTCCCCTTGGCATCAACTGGTACGATGAGACAACTAATCAATTCAATTCAAATACGTCCATCAAAGTGTAATCTGTTATATAAATTTTGGCACTTCACAACCTGTGGATTGCCCTCTGAAGTAGAGGCCCCTCGTAGAGAAACCGACTCCGATCGATAGCAGCAAGGAACTCGAGCTGCTGTTTGGCCGCAGCCACCAGATCTACGCTGACAACAATCTTCTGGGCCTCAAGCCACTCTGATTCTTGCTCCATCTCCATTTCAGATTCAACAATAATAACAAAAGGTTCTCACCACAGTTTTAACCCTAACTCGGCAAGGTCATGAGAGGTCTCCCCTCATTCAGTTCTGAAATCATATTTAAAACAAAATTTTCGCATCCCGATTAGATTCCGTCGATTTCAAGCAAGAAAAGGTCATCGCAAATTAAGGTTACAGTACATAAAAAGAAAAAAAAAAGGGGAAATGATGTAGGTTACTACCGCATCACAAGAATGAAGACGATAAGAGACCTGCAAGCTGGAAAGAGGGCAACGATCTCGGGAAGTTGTTGACTTGCGAGCTGCAGCGAGCTTCGTGACCGGTGGGGATTCGAATCCCCTATATATAGGGATTTGGGACAAGGATGAAGACGAAACTTCGCAATTAAGGCCGATGGGGTGAATTTCATTGGCAGAACTTACCCGGTAAGTCTCACTGTTTCAACCTATTTGAATTCCAATCCAATCGTTATTCAACACGTATTAAGATTTAATTTGATTTAATTTATTATCTTAATTAGAGGTGTAAATGAATAAGGTCAAGTTTGAGTCACTTCTAATATATGAGCTTAATTAATTAATCGAGTTTGAGCTCAAGATCTCTCTTTATTTTACGAGTTCGTGCAAACTCAAGAGCTAGCTCGTTTATTATGAAAGAGAGGAAAATATTATGATTCAAATAATTTTTAAATAAAATGATAAAAAGTAGAAATTAGAACAAAAAATTATAAATATTTATTTAATATAAGGAAATGAGATATAATTTTTAAAACTTCAAATTTTAATATATTTTAAGTATATTTTATATTAATATATAAACAATCTAACTCTCAAGTTAATGAGTCTAGTGAACGGCTAGTACAAGCTTTACAAAAGAACAAAAGATCAAAGGATGTAGAAATAAAACCTAAGCTTGATGTTCAAATCATCCCCACTCCACAGGATTCTTACCCTTAGTTGAAAACATATTAAAATCACATAATGAGCACAAAAGTCTAACAAGCTACCAATATATACAACTGAAAGTCAATGCATCAGTTTGAACAGAGAACATTAAACATAAAATTGTAGCAATCAATATAAACAATATCATGTGTGTCATGTAATTCATAGTCTTATCTTATTCATGTATCAATCATATTCTCATTATATATCATATGTTCATATAAGTACACTATCAATACACTATATATCAGTCATGTTAATCAATCGTTCATTCTTATTCATCAATCATATCAGCAATTAATTAATCATTATCTATCATATCTCTCATATCATCAATCTTACAGTTATCAATCATCGATCACATCTATCATCAGTCTTATCAATGATATCTATCATGAACTATCTATTATCTATCTTCGGTCTATCACATCTATCATCGATAATCAATCTTATATGTCATCTATCATCGATCATATATATCTTTTATCATCTGTCATGTCATCTATTATCAATCATATATCATATATCATGTAATTTGGGCTATTACAATACATCCGCTTGAAGTCTAATTTGGACACTATTAAACTTCCAATAATGAGAGCAATAATTCCTTTAGAAGTACATAGCCAAGTTCACCTAAGCCACCCACGAAATTACCATCTTAGAGCTAACAATCGCAAAGTTAATGTTGATCGAGGGCCTTTGGAATTCACCTTTTAGTTGCTTTAATAATGAAGAAATCTTTAAAAATGAATATTAAAATTCTAGAGCAAGAATCGAAGAAAACATTTATATAAACAATTTGATGACATGCATGCTCGTATGTGACGCCTATGGATGCAACCTAAACAACAATCATCTAATCATAAGGAAAGAATCAACTAAAATTGTGATAGTCGACTAGTCGTCATGATTGAGTTTCATGCTAAGAAGTTTTCAACATTTTTATCTAATTAGAATCATCAATCAGACTTTACCAATGATTCCTGTGGCCACAAGGACCACTACCTATTTCATGACTTCAATCAACATAACCAAACCATAACTTTAATCACAAGATTGACATAATCTAGGGCTGTCAATATTTGACACGACACGAAAACCCGACCCGAAAATTTCGGGTTCGAGTTTTCGACCTGTTTGAAAAACCGGGTCGGGTTCGGGTTGACCCGGAAACTCGAAAATGACCCAGAATGACCCGCTGCCCGCCCTGACCGGGGCTGACCATTCTGATTCGAGATCTGATTCTGTTCCGATTTCTGATCTGATTTCTGTCTGATGAGTTTGGTTTTGGATTCTGAGAGTTTTGATTGGAGGTTTGTTGCTTTGCTGAGCTGTTGAGCTCACTCTTGTTTTCTGGTGGTTTTCAGGTTCTGGGAAAGGGAAGGAAGTCCAGGAGTAGATTTCTGAGTTCTGATCCGTATAGGTATTGTTTGTACCTTTTAATTTTTGTACAGTCATGGCTTTTCTGTTCTGTCTTTCTTTCTGTTCAAAAGCCATGTACTGTATCTGTAGATGATTGTTTTGAGGAAAATGAAAATATAGATGTTTTGTTCCGCTGTGTTTGATGATTCATAGTGGCTCTGTGTTTGTGTGTCTGTTGAGTTGATTAATTTTGAAGATTCAGTTCTGGAACCAATTCCAAAGCCAGATCCTGGATAAGAAGATTTTGTCGCGGTCCGGCTCGGGCGGGATCCGTCCCCGTCGGGTCGGGTCGTGACACCGACGACCCGACCCGGAACGGAAACCCGGTATGGCAGTATTTGCTATGTTCGTGTATTGCTAGGTATTGCTAGATATTGCTTAGCAATAATGAGAAATACCGCTCTGTCAAGACCAATACCGAGCAATACCGACATAATGGTATTTCTCGTTACCGAACAAAACCTAGCAATACTCTGGTCTGTACAAATCAACTAATACATAGCAATATTGGGTTCCGGTCCGGGTCGGGTCGTCGGGCCGCGCGGTAAAGAGTAAGAGCACGTGGCGACATTTTATTGGCGTCCAGATGTAGAGCTACGTCAGGTGTCCGGATCTAATAGAAAAAGCATTGAATTAATGTCTTCTCATGTGTATGGCCTAATTGAAATAATTCTCCTGATGTTTTTTTGTCAATTACACATGAGAAGACATTAATTCAATGTAGTAAACATATAATAGATAGAACTTTTTTTTAAAAAAAAAAATTGAAACATCGAACATACTACATGTTTGAAGTTGGAAGAGTCATATTGCATGTGAGTTATCTTTAAAAGATTGTTTGCTTATTTGTTTAGTCATAGTCCTCTGAGATGGGGTGATAAGGATCAAGAAGCTAGCATAAATCTCAATACACATAATAAGGATCGAGTTATTGTCAGTGGCATGTATTGATCTTATAATTAATTGTGTGCATTTGTATTATTAGCAATGTTGGTGATGAAGTCAACGAGCTTTGGTGTAGCTCGATGACAATTGTCAGAAGATTATAAGTCTGAGGATTGTAGAATGAAGATGACAGTTAGAGGATCATAGCTAGAAGATGATAGTAGGAGGATCATAATAGAGCAATAGTGGTCAGGCAACCACGGTCGAGCGACCGTGGTTGGAAAATTTTAGTGGGCTATTGTGGTCAAATGACGCTAATTGGAATGATAGTAGTCAGGCTACGACAAATGATGGTAGTAAAATGACTGCGGACGAAGGATGGCAATTAGTGACAATAATGTGACAATGATAGTCAGACAGTGAATATTAGAGAATGTTCCAACGATGGATATCAAGCGATGGTCCCATAGTGATGTTCGTGCGATGGCCTAATAAAGCTAATCGGGATTCTTAGAGCCTTTGAGCTCTCTTAAATCTCAAGCTAAAGTCTAAGCTCTCTGTCCCCTTCTTATGGAGAATGTGGTTTTGTTTATAATACTTTTAAAGTGAACAATTTGATAAATTTAGTTAAAATTTCATAACACTCCATCAAATAGCTCATGTCAATTTTTTTTATTGTTATAGAATATTTATTCCACGTTTAAGTACCTTAATGGCTCAAAATTGAATGATCATTGTTTTATTGGATTCAACTTGTAGAGAGGTTCATTTTGACTATAAGCATGCAAGGTTTTGAAATTGTTTAGTCATCCAATTAATGTTGAAAAATTTTCTAACTATCCTTCTAGTGCTTAATTTGGCCTTATTTGAACTTAAATCGAATCACCTTGGGTGTCGTTGGGTTCATCTTGTTAAGACGCTTAATTTGATCATAAGCTAGTTGAAATCGGATTTGCGTTGTTTTAAATTTAATTTTGAAAGTTTCTAGTCTAATACAAATATTGCATCAAGATTCTCATGCTAATCAAAGTGCATATTTTTAAGATATATAAATTTGAGTATATATATTTAAATTATATGATGTTTTCATCATACATATACATCTGATCATAACATACATAATTTTCAAATATATAAATTATAGAAAAATTGATATAATAACATAGCCATTAAATACAAAATTAAGCCATCCCTAAATAAACATTTTATCATGTTCTTTGCTAGCTATTTGTTAAACAACAAACAAGCATGTTTCATAACATAAATGAATAAGTATTCAGATTTATTTATTTATACTATGAGCTCTTAAATCTTTTTCTAGCCTAATTATCTAAATAAATGAATTTAAATGAGCAATTGAGCATCATATAAACGAGTATTGAGTTATTCATTGTGTGCACTTGTTCGCTTATAGCTCAAAGATTGAACTTTATCAGCTTATTCTTGACACTAAAGTTTCATTTGGGACAGTTTTCTTATCGTTTTCTAAAGTTGTTTTTAGTAAAAAAAATTTGAGTTCAATAAATTTTTATACTAAAATTTTGTTTTGGGAAGCAAGGAAAAAAAAGTTCCAAACAAAGCCTAAGAATCCATCCGGATGAATATAACTTTTTTGTAAATGTAATTGCAAAGTTGTGAGTGAAAAAGAATTTTTTAAAAATTATTGTGAGTATTATTTAAAAAAAAATGGACTATGTTCTTATATTTATCATACACTAGCAAATATCAATCATAAAGCAGAATCCCACCCCAAACTTCTCGAAAATAGAGTCAAATAAAAGTATGATAATTCTCTGAAAAAATAAATAATGAGAAAAATGTCTTTCTTAAAGAATTTTTCTACAAAATAAGATGCTTCATAAAGCAGTAAAAAAAGTTATCTCACAGCTTTATTATTACTTCTTAAAATAAATTTTTAATACAAAAAATGCTTTAAAAAGAAATAGGAAAGCCGTCCCAAAAGAAGCTTAAGGCTTAGTTTGGGACGGCTTTTTCGCTGCTTCTTAAAACAACTTTCTAGTAAAAAAATTAAATTTTTTGCAATAGAAAAATGCTTCAAAAATCAGTAAAAAAGTCGTCCCAAACTTTCAAAATTTTCAGTGCACGAGAAGGCGATAATACTGCCCCTCTCCACCCTTCGGTTCAGGGTATTCGTGGACTTGCACCAACTCATCTTACAAACACATTCAACTTTCTTCAAATTTTTAAGCTAAGATACCAATTCCTGTAGAGTGCTCATCAAGCTCTATCTCTACCAGAAAATCAACGACTTGCCTTATGTTGTTTAATTCACCCCATGACGTTCCTGCAAACAACAAATGACAAAAATATTAGAAAGATCAGAAGAAGATGGATACATCACTAGAGAAAAAAAAAGTCACTTCATATGTAGCAGCAACAATTCATTTTCCCCCAGCACAAGCTCTCATAGCACTGTTGCCCGATTTCATTGCAATCTCCTGGCCTTTGTCTCTACATCGACACTCGCAAACTTCATCGTTTCCTTTCGCTAATAGCATCATGTTAAATGTGCCACGTAACCGGGCGGGAGAACCGTCCAGTATCCGCACAGAATAAAAGCTCCTCTCAAAGAGCTCAAGAGGAAGAACATCTCTCTCTCTTCCAAGAAGCTCAAGAAAGCTTCCTTCCTCCCCAAGAAACTTGGCTGCTTTAGGGCTTGTTCGAACAAATTCTGCTACGTTATTACACGATGTATGTGGGATCGATAGGCTGGGTTCCTTCACAGTACTCGGGCTGATGAATAGCTATGCCACGCCTGTGTTAAACCTGCAAGGAAAGTTAAAAAAATAAGCGGTGTTTCTCCCTGCATGATTGCATCCCAATCACCAAACAAACCTGTCCAAGCAGGAGACTAATAAATATAGGTAGAAGATGGATTGATGTTCAGTTCATGATAGGAATTAATTATAAAAACACTAAAATACATAAAGATTTGAATAATAATAATATCATCAGAATATTCTAACTAAAAATTAATAAGGTGGATCTCAAAATTTTTAAATTTATTTTAAAACTTAGGTAAGTTTGATTACTTATTACACTAATTTTAAAGCATATGATCAAGGCAACAACACAATTAAATGCAACACATTTTGATCTGATATTGGGAGCGTAGACTATCAATGAAGAGTTCTTGTATTCAAAACTTGTATATATGATTGTGTGAGTTTATATTTAGGTTTCATTTGGGTCGGCTTTTTTACTGCTTCTTAAATCAACTTTTTAGTAAAAAATTTTTAATTTTTGTACTAGAAAGCAGCTTTAAGAAGCAATAAGAAAGCCCTCCCAAATGAAGTCTTTAATTTACTCAAAAGTTCGAAAATAAAGTACACAATATTGAAACATAAATGATGCATTGGCATGTAGTAATGATTTTTTTTATTTTTTTTAGAGAATTAAGTCAATTAAGGCAAATTCACAAACACATCAAATACCTAAAACTCAAATCCAAAATATCTCGATTGATAGAATCAGCTCTCCATCAACAGACAAAAATGAGCTTTTAATAGTAATTATATTTTAATGCCTTCCAATAATACGAGAAAACAACCACAACAATGAGTAGCCTTGCTCACAATACAGCTTAATTAAGCAGTAGTACAAGATCGGAATCCTGATCATTATAGAGCAAAGTAACAAACTCACAATGTTATAATTTAGAAAACATGCATCCTAGTTATCCTATACCTATAGTTTATTTTAGGAAAAAAATTTAAACTATGTATTATTAAAACTTTAATAATGTAATTAAGTATCGAAAAAAAAAAAAAACAGACAAAGTTGTCCATCAAAAGAGCGATCTATGCTGACTTAGATTTGCTGAGTCATGTTCCAGACGCCGAGGTAACTGGTGACTTATTTTAAAAAAATTTAATATTGTAAGTTGCCCGTTAAAAGGGAAACTTGCTACAACAAATTCTGAAAAATAATATGTAAAAAATATATTAAATAAATAGATTTAAAACAAAAAATAGACAAAAACAAAAAATATAGAGTTAGACTGTTAGTGTAAAATATACATTCTTTATTTTAATAGAAGTCAACAGTTTAACACAATTGTCTAGCTGTAGTTGAGGATTTTTTCCTCCACATTTAAGATAGATGTCATGAGATTTGTTGAAAGATGTCGTGCTCGCCAAACTTACCAAAGTGGTGGATAAAACAAAGGATTATATCTCCCTTTACCAGTGCCCGATACTATTTGGGAGGACTTAAGTTTACATTTTGTATTGGGAGTGCCTGGCGCTAAACACCGACATTGATTCTATTATGGTCGTTGTAGATCAGTTTTCAAAGATGGCTCGTTTTGTTGAATAATTATTCTGTGTGGACGCCAAACGCTATTCGGAGACCAAGCATAATGCGCTACATCACCTTTATGCTGTGTACCGCAGCACGGTACTGATCGGTACCGCTAAAGTGTTTGCACCTGATTCACCAACAAACGTAAAGTTACGTTTGGCCTCCGCACTGAATAATTTCTCTTGTTTTGTTGCATGTAAGAAGACATTGGATGCCCTCAATATCGCACACTTATTCTTCACTGAGATTGTCCGTCACCACAATATTCCTAGAAGCCTTACTTCAAATCATATTAGTCACTTTTTGGAGAGAATTATGGTAGCGTTTGAACACATAATAAATTCAGTTCGGCTTACCATCCCCAAACTGACGGTCAAATTAAAGTTGTGAATAGAACCGTTTGATAATATGCTCCGATGTTTAGTTCAAGAACATTCAATGCTATGGGATGAACTATTGAGACAAGCTGATTTTGCTTTACGATAGTAAACCAAACCGCTTCACTGGAAGAAGCCCATTCAGTGTTGTTTACACCAAACCCTCCAAACCAATCTATTGATATTGCAATATTACCCAAGTGCAACAGTAAACCTGCCTCCACACTAGCTGATCAATTTTCCACTATACTTCACGTTGTTTGCAACAAGCTCATAGAATCAAACGCTAAATATAATCTAACAGCTAATAAACAACGCTGTGGAAAGCTTTTTAGTCCCGGTGATTTATGCTTTGTTTGGGACAGCTTTCTTATTGTTTCTTAAAGTAATTTTTAATGCAAAAATTAAAATTTTTGTACTAAAAATTTACTTTAAGAAGCAGTAATCTGATATTTATACTTATCACTACTAGATGGAGCACAAATCAGCATTAGTCATTGGAGTCAGATTCTTCAAATGCAGAGGAGCATAATGCGGTACATCCTAACTAATCATATACCTATAGTTTATTTTATTCCTTCTGACTTTTTTTTTTTTAAGAACGGGGTATCTACCCGCTGTCATTCTAAAGGAAGAATTTGATGGCGGAACCTAGGGAAACAACCAACCAGCATCGAGTCACACTTACTTTGCTTCACTGAAGAGGTGAGGCCGTGGTAGAAAAGATTCAAACTCAAGACGGGTGATTCTCAACCGTACTCGATCATCAAACACCCTAAGCCTCGTGAGTCCAGTGTTTTTTTTTTGGGAAAACGTGAGTCCAGTGTTAATCTCCACTTCCATAATTTCTGTTTCTGCTAGTGTAGTACAAGTGCAGTTTTTTATTCTGTTAGAGTTATTTTCAGTATAGCCTACTTCCAGTACATTTAAAGTTAAACCATTTATCTGTTCTTTGTTCTCACCTGCTACTTCCTCAATATACCACATCACATACTCATCATGCAAGTAAAAGTTTTTATCTAGTAGAGAATGAAAAATGCCATCGATCATATCGTCACATATTTTCTAGCAATTCAGTTGTTCTAGTTAGATGCTAATCAACTAGCCGGATCAAAAGAAAGAACTCGTTACTGTACAAACAACTCTGCGCACATTGCAGAGAATGAGAGAGAGAGAGAGAGAGAGAGAGAGAGAGAGAGAGAGAGATGAACAGAGAGCCGAATAGCAGACGAAGAACATCCATCTTTTAAGCAGAAGAAGCTGAAACTAATGCCTTCTTCCTCCACTGCTAAGAACACCCGCCGTCGTCTTATAAGCCGGCTTCCACAGCGAACAAAAGGAGACACTTTGCCCTTTCCAAGACAATCCAACCGCCCCATCAGTAGCAATCTTCATCTCCCAATTCCCATCATATTTCTTCAACAATGCTCTTCCCGCCTCCACAGCTTCCTCCCCAAACCCTTCCTCCTTAAACCCTTCTCCTTCCATCTTCTCCTTCCACCTCTCGTTCCCCCATCCTTCCCCTTCCTCCCCCTCCTCCTCCAACAGCCGCGCCGCCTCCCCCTCCACCACTCTCCTCTCCTCACTATCTCTCCCCTTAAACGCCACACTCGTCGACTCTAAAAACCCCCACAACATCTCCGCTCTCCTTGCAAACCCTTTTCCTTCTCCCCGTCCCCTGCCTTCTTCCATCTCAGTCAAAACCAGTAAGTCCGGTTCCATCTCCCTCACCGCCTTCCAAAACCCTGGCCCGACCCGCCCGGCCCGAAACTGCAGACACACAACCACTGTCTCCTTCCCCGGCCCCCTCCCTACTTCCCCTCTCTCCACCCTCAAATTCAAATCTATCGACCTACCGTACCGCATCAACTGCGGGACGAAATCGTAACCCGCCGGTGCCGACCCGAACGGACCTCCCGACCCTGTTTCAACCACCGTCAGCTTCACCATCCCCTGTCCCACGAGTCCCATCCCACGCCGCGTCAGTGCTTCCATTAGGGTCGGCCACTGCAATCCATGTGAAACTCCAACATCCACCACGTGAAGACTCCCACTCCTCACCGGCCCGGCTCGCCCACCCATCGCCTGAAGGATCGCCGCGTTCGCCAGGCAGTTGGGGAACGCGAACCACGCGCTTACTTCGTGGAACTTTATCAGAGCCGAGCGGAAAAGCCGCGGGTCCGTTGACGCGTAGTTCAACGGCGAAGATAAGGAAGATGTGAAGTTGCGGGAGAGGACTTGGAGGCCGTAGAAGGCGAGGCGGTGATTGGCGTCGCCGGTGGGCGAAGCGAGTTCCTGGAGGACGCAGATAAGGTGCTGTGCGCGGTAGAGGTTCGCCGCGTCTATTGCCGCTGCTAGAGGATTCAGAAGCTGCTCCGCCCACCTCACCTCTTTGCTCGCGCCACCGCCGCTGCCGGAGTTTGACATGCTACCTCGTCCGTGCCCTTTCTTCGATCCGTTATTCACCTGCGGCTTACGGTCCTCTTCAAATACGCCGGCCGTTTGCCTTGCCGCAAGTTTGCGTTTTTTGGGCAATTCTGCTTTGGGCATCTCTGGGAGAGGTTCGGGCTTGGCTGTCACGATGGCGATAGACGGTGCTTCGGCGACTGCCGCGACGGCAGCGGCTGCGGTCAAAGGCTGGTTTTGGTCTTGAACCCACCACTGGCAGTGGGCGATTTCTTCGGGAACAGAGTAAAGCTCATTGGGAAAGGTGGGGAGGAAGGAGATGGAATCCTCCAGCCAGTCCATGAGATGATGATGGTGGTGGTTCCCATGGTGAGATGAGAGGTTGGACGCGTCTAATCCCTCCTCCAGCGTCATAGAGAAAGGAGCAGCGAAAGGTAGGAGTTCGCAAGATTCAATCTTTTTGGTTGATCTGATCCCTGAGTGTATTAAAAGGAGAAGATTTATGGTTTATAAAGATGGAAGGTCAATATTGAAGGCAATTGAAGGGCAAAAGAGGAAGGAATATTTTGCTTTTCGGCATTCGCATGCATGATATAAAATTTTTATATAATTAATATTTAAATTTTAAATTTATTAAAAAATTATATCAAATAAATATATATAACAAATTAATATTATTGATATGTTATAAAAAATTGGCTTGATATAGCACAAATATATTCAAATTGAAAACTTTCAAAATTAAATTTTGGACTATTTGAATTCTAATTCCATCAAACTTTTTGTCAAATTGAGAGACTAAGCGAGAAGAATCCAACAGCACCAAAATTGGTCTGATCTAAGCTAAAATGAGCTCAAATCAAGAGACATAAGCATATTTAGAAGGTTCAAAGAATAAATTGGATGATCATATGATATCCAAATATAGCATGTTTATAATCAAATTGCCTGACTCGACAAAATGAATCCAATGAGCCGATATTGTTTTATTATGATATTATTAAGATACTTAAATGCTTCATAAATGCTATATGATCATGGGAATCAATATGAGCTATCTTATGGAGCACTTCGAATTTGACTTGGTTCTTCTTCATAACTACAAAGTATGTCACTCTAAAAAATTTATAAATAGCCTCCATCTTCCCACGTGAAAGGGGGCTCAAACCTTTGAAGGCATCGACCTTCGTCTAGAGATTAGAGAGAGTTTTGAGACTTCAACAATCCTATTTTTTCACCCAAGCACCACCGCTAGTGAACTTCCGCCATCTGCCATCGGACCACTATTCGTCCAGCAACCATCGTCGACCAAAGTCCTTCTGACCGTCGTTGGACCTCCACCTTACTCTCTACTATCGTCGGACCACCGACCAGATGAACATATCAATATTGATTCTTCCAACTACCACCATGTAATGCACTCCATATGAAATATATTTTCTACATCTAGTCAAGACCTTCCCCCTAATGAATAGCCTAATTTGGAATCAACTGCAAACACTAGTGGATTCATTTAAACTGGGCAAGTCAACTTAATTTTTTCCCATTTTTATGGGTTTCCACGTAAAAAATCTGATGTCTCATATGAACGTTGTACAACCCTATCTTTCATCTGTTTGTTTGTTCGATCTTTGTACAAAGTTAGGTTGCTAAACTTTATATTTCTCTACTGCCGCGAATGTTTCAAGACGCAACAAATTTTAATTTTAAATTATTACATTAAATATGTAAATATTTTTATGATATTTATGTGATTCCATCGTTATTTTAAGTCGATGAATCTCAAAGGGCTCACGATTAGTTTTTGAAGGTTATTGTTTGTTATTGCGTTATTTATGATAACTATGCCAAGTTTATCAAAATTTTGGTAGGAGAAGGAGCAATTATTAGGTCCTTTCATTGGATGTAGAGGAAGATTCGGTTTTAGGCAAAAATAGGTCAAAAAGTGCAAATACCGAGTTTTTTGAAAAACTCGGTATTTGCACTTTTTTAGACAAAACTGAACCTTTCTCTAGGTCCTTGCACCGGACCAAATAAAAGTTCTAGGAGAAGCGGCTGCAACTATTGTATGATTAGACTTTGGGAGCACTCTTTGGTGAGGGTTAGGGATGTAATTTCTATTAATTTATTTTTTAGAAATGTGGTCATTGAATCGTTGTAAATTGTACAAGTTGATATTTGTTTATTTCCACAAAAATATTTTTTATAATTTTTTCTTTTAAAAAAAATTGTATTACGAGTGAATACTGAATACTGATCACTCTAAAGTTGGAGTGGTCTTCTTGTCGTTAGAGGCTACTTGTCACTAAGAGTTTTAGGTGGTTTGGCTTTTCAGTCTGGTGTTTAACAAAATAGGAATTTACATAAATACCGCAAGAACAAAAATAAAATTATGTATTTAAGTATCTAATATAATAAACTTTATATATGTTTTGTTTTTTATTATAATTTAAAAATATTTTTATTTAATATATTTTATATATCTTCTAAATAGACTAAATTATTTTTGGGTCGGGTTTGGGTTGACCCGAATAGTGCCGGGTCCATTCCGGGTTCGACCCGAACCCGACCCGTTGACCCGAATTGACACCCCTACCGCCATCTCCATCTATTACCAGCTACACCTTACCGGCCACCACCTCTAGTAACCTTCGACCATCGCTGGAAGTCGCCGACTACCACATTTAGCCAACACAACCGTCAATTGCCACCATGATGCATTGTTGTTGCTCCACCAAAAATTGTTGTCATCACTACATAATTAATTTATTTAATATTCAATAAAAATAAATATATATTTATAAGATATCAAAAATAATTTATCTTAAATTAAAATATAAGTACAATAAATTAAAATTAAAATTAAAAACCAATAAAAATAATTTCCTTTCATGTCATTTGATAGGTTTTTCTCTACTATTGGATAGGGTTACAGAATTCCTCACCATGAGCGATGCTCTTTTCTATAACAAATGTAAAAGATTTGTATCTCACTCTCTAACTGAGTGTATGAGAGATTGGAACAAGTTAAGACAATCCATATTGATCCTCTATTTATCTCTACATTTTTTTTGCATTAAATAAGCATATTATATTCTATTTAATAATTTAAAACCTTACATATTGAAATACAGGGGCGGACCTGTGCTTAAAAGCTTTAAAAATATTTTATTTAAACTTGTTATTTCAAAAATATAAAATATAAGATATTAAAAGTCTTATAATTTATAACAATTAATAATAACGAATATTCTACATATTCTAAAAAATAAATAAATAATTACTTTATCATCAATAAAATAAAATATCTCATTCTCAATATAAATTATTAAAATATCATTATTTCATTAATCTCGAATTATACTTTATATTCATTTTTTATAATAGTTAATATGTCGTCAAAAAATTATCTTGATCAGGCACGAATCTCAATGCAAAATCAAGTTGGAAACTTCCAAAATTAAAATTGGGACCATCTGAACTCCGATTTCAGCAAACTTATAGTCAAACTGAGTGTGTCGAGAATACGAACTTAACGACACCAAATTTAACCCAAACGGGTCCAAATCAAGGATTAGATGCACTATTAGAAGGTTTGAACCACCATTTAGATTGCCAAACGGTTTCCAAACATAACGAGTTTATAATCGAATCGAGTGGCTCAACGAGACGAATCCAACGAGTTCAAGATCGCTGAATTCCGACATCATTAAGACCTTCAAATGTCTGACAAACGGTACATGATCAAGGGATTCAATATCGGCCGCTCATTCAACCACTCCCCATTTACCCTTGATTTCTCACCTATTTACGGGTCATGCCACTCCATAAATTTATAAACAGACCCATCATTTCTTTTGAAAATGGGTGGAAGAAAGAAGAGAAGAATGAAGAATAGAAGGACGAGAAGGAAGAAGCTCCTCCTCGACCACCGTTTGAGTTCCCTGGACCACTACATGAGGCCCTCGCCTTTGTCAGACCACCACTAGAGGCCCTCACCTCCGCCGGACCACCGTCTGACATTGTTGTTTTGTCAGATCACCACTTGAGGCACTGAGATCCGCCAGACCACCACTTGAGGCCCTCACCTCTGCTGGACCACTGCCTGACATCGTTGTTCCATCAGACCACCACCTAAGGTCCTGAGCTCCGCCGAACCACCACTTGAAGCGGCCCTCACCTCTGCCAGACCACCGCATGACATCGTTGCTCCACCGGACCACCACTTGAGGCCCTCGCCTTCGTCGGACCACCACTTGAGGCCATCACCTCCGCCGGACCACCGCCTAACATCGATGCTCCGCCGGACCACCACTTGAGGCCTGAACTTCTACCGGACCACCACGTGCGGCACTCACCTCCACCGGACCACCGCCTGACATCGTTTCTTCTTCGGACCATCATCTGAGGCCCTAAGCTCCATCGAACCACCACTTGAGGCCCTTAACTTCGCCGGAACACCGCCTGACATCGTTGCTCCGCCAGACCACCACCTTTGGCCCTCGCCTTCACTGGACCACCACTTGAGGCCCTCACCTTCGCTAGACCACCGCCTGACATCATTACTCCGCCGGACCACCACCTGAGGCCCTGAGCTCTGCCGGACCATCACTTGAGGCCCTCACCTCAGTCGGACCACGGCCTGACGTCGTTGCTCTGCCGGACCACCACTTGAGGCCCTGTGCTCCACCAGACCACCACCTGAGGCCTGGACTTCTACCGGACCATTACTTGAGGCCCCGAGCTCCACTAGGAGACCACCCGACTCCCAGAGTTCTACTGGACCACCACCTGAGTCCTGAACTTCAGTCGGACCGCCACCTGTGGCCCAAAATTCTACCGAACCACAACCTGAGGCTCGGACTTCTGCCGGGCCACCACTTGATGCCGAGAGTTCTCCCGAAGTACCGCCCTTCTACTACAGTCTTTCTAACCCCAGTCTCCTACCAATTACGATCTTTTGGACTTATGTATTCTATCGATTATGGTCCTTCTGACCTCCGTCACCTACTATGGTCGTTTTCGACCTCCATCACCTACTATGGTCGTTCCGACCTCCATCACCATACAACGCTTTCCAACCCCGGTCTCCTGTCGAATATGGTCCTTCCGACCTCCATCAACAGAGAATGCTTTATGACCCCGGTCTCCTGCCAACTACGATCTTTTTGACCTTCATCACCTACATTTGTCCTTCTAACCTCCATCACCAAACAACGGTCTTTCTGACCCCGGTCTCCTGCCAACTACAGTCTTTCGGACCCTTGTCTCGTGCTGACTATGACCCTTCTAACCAAACAAACATGTATATTATTGTAACTCCCACCATGTAATGTGCTCTATATGATGTACATTTGTGAAATCAAGCCAAGGCCTTCTCCTAAGGAAGGGCCTCATTTGTAATAGATTGCAAATACTAGTGGATTCATTCAAACTGAGACAGGCCTCGTGGTTTTTCCCCATTT